ATAATAATAATAATAATAATAACAGCAACAACAATAATAATAATAATAACGATGATGATGATGATGATAATAATAATAATAATAAGGATAATAATAATAATAATAATAATAATAATAATAATAATAATAATAATAATGATGATGACAATAATAATAATAATGCTACCGTAGAATGGCCAGAATACGTTGGAAAGCAAAAAAAGAAACAACAACCGAACAATGAGGCGTCTCAGATTCTCCACACAAGACAAACTCTGCTGAATGAGATAAAATGTAAGAAAATACAACACTTTTGTCACTTAAAACGACACCAGACCTTTGTGAAAGAGGTGCTTGAAGGAAGGATGTGGGGCTGAAGAGCCAGGGGAAGACAACCCGTAACATGGATGGACAGCAGTATACTAGTAAAACATGACCTGGTCGGATATGGCAGAATGTGCAACGGCAGCTCGCGACCGTGAAAGATAATAATAATAATAATAATAGTAAATAAAAATAATAATAATAATAATAATAATAATAATAATAATAATAATAATAATAATAATAATAATAATAATAATAATAATAATAATAATAATAATAGTAATAATAATAATAATAATAATAAATATTGTATTGCGCATGTCCCAACTCAAAAGCAAGCTCTATGCACTTTACACTATATTATTACCCCAGCAGACCATAGAACACTCCGAAACATTCTCAGCTTCCCAGGAAGCAATGCAAGCAGCTGGTTAAACGCTCAAACACTAACAAACTGACAAGATCTTTCACTGTCTATAGCCGGGTACCCATTCCCACCTGGGTGAAGTGTGGAAAATTCGTGTGAAGTGCCTTTCCCAAGGACACAACGTCGGGCCTGCAGCTCGAACCCCCGACCCCGCAACCTCACAATTACGAGTCTGGTAGCCTAACCACTAGGCCACCGATGGAGGGTCATTATACGTCAACCTCTGAGTCAGAGATGACACCTTCCAGTATCCAGGATTTATTATTGTTATTATTATTTATCCTATACCATAAGGTCACCTGGCCTGACCTGACCATCAGTGATTTATTTATAGAGGCACCAGCCATCCATGTCCTGGTGCTGTTTTAGCCTCTTTCTTCAATCTGTCTGTGGATTAATTAATGATTTTCCAATTTGGTTCTACTTTTATGCACCATGTATCTCTGGTTTTCAACTTGGAATTGGCAAATAGTTCGCTGTAATAGTCCCCGTTCCTTTTCTCCATCAGCCATCCATGTCCAGGTGCTTTTTTAACCTCTTTTTTCTGTCTGTGGATTAGCATTTTGGATTCTTTTTTTTTTTTTTTTTTTTTTTTTTGGGGGGGGGGGGGTCAAATCCAATTTGGTCCAACTTCCATGCACCTGTATTCATGGTTCTCAACCTGGAAATCGCCTATAATTCGCTGTAATTGCCTACCCCCCCTCCCCTGCACAAAGTGAACTGACCTGACCTGACCATCAATGATTTATTTATAGAGGTGCCAGCCATCCATGTCCAGGTGCTGTTTTAGCCTCTTTTTCCTGTCTGCGGATTAATATTCTTTTTTTCCCCCCAATTTATTGGTTTCGCTTCCATGAACCCCGTATACTTGGTTCTCAAACCTGGAAATCGCCTATAACTTGTTGTTATTGCCCACCTCCCTGCACATGTGACCACACCAATCGAGGAAGATGCAGACCGGCGCGGACCTCCTGGAAGTATGTCCAGTGGGCGGAGTCACGTGGAGAGTCGACTGGTTGACCTAGACACACGGACCTTGGTGCACCATGACGTCAGCAGGGAGATGTACGACATCGTGGAAGAGGGAGTCGTTTCTCGTTTGGTTTGGTTTTTTTCTAGCTGTGAGTTTCCCCACCTCCATTTCCACCCCACCCCACCCCCACCAATCAAGCACACAAACAAAGCAAAGCACCCCTTTCCCTAACTAAATCACGATATATGTTATTCCTTTCTCACTCCCCCCCCCCCACCTCTCTCTCTCTCCCTCCCCTGTCTCTCTCATTCTCTATCTCTCTCTCATTTTCTCTCTCTCTCTCTCTCTCTCTCTCTCTCTCTCTCTCTCTCTCTCTCTCTCTCTCTCTCTCTCTCTCTCTCTCTCTCTCTTTCTTTCTCTCTCTCGACGGCTCACGTTATTTATCCCCCTCCGGTTCTGTCT